CTAAGGAACTCAAAGACCACATGGAGAATGTAGGTATTTCCCCCTGTAAATTTAATGTCTACTTAACAGGCATAAATGTCTCAAAGCAGAAAGATGATTTCAGAACAAATGGAACACGTAGAAATTGTGCAAATACTTAGTGTGCCATTAGCTACCAGACAGGGATTTGGGGATGCTGGATGTTCTCAGAGAAATAACTCTGTTATCCTCCAGTTGCTACAGATTAAACAGCAGTATATTGTTTTACTTTTAAACTTCTCTGTCACGAAGACAAGGGGAGAATTTTCCTCAATTATCTGCTTAAGTAAACATTGTTTTTCTCATCTGTGGAGAGCTAGCCTCTGTTTTATATCTCTGCACAACGCGTCCAGGAGAATGTGAACAAGCGGGTCCTAGGCCAAGTTAAGCCTGAAACCTCACCGGAGGCAAAAGCGACAAAGCTGAAGCTGTGCTCTTCTGAGTTCATCACAGGAAGGCGTGGTTCTTTGGCAAAGACCACACTGCTGGGTCGACCGGAAAAGGGGCAGAAGACCAAATAGGAGACGTGTCCACGCCATAGGGGAAATCATGGGCAGGAGTCCAGGAGAAAAGGAAAAAGCACAGGATGTGAGGGTTGACATGTGGAATACGTTTTCTTTGTTTGGACCTTGTAAACCGGAAGTCCTTCATCCTCTTCCCATCACATGCCCCGCCCCCCCGTCAGTCCTTCCTGTACCATGTACCCGAGCTTGGTCCCCTGCCGCATGTACACACAACCGAGCCCACGGACACCCAAGTGCTCTAAGTGAATGCACTGACCATCCATATATTCTGGTTTGCAAGGTGAGCCTGGCTTGAATTTTATTTGGGAGGTAATTTTATAAATGTCACTTCGGGAGCCTTTTATATTTGGGAATAGTTTGAACAGCCCTACACGTGTTTTCTCAGAGATGAAGCAACTAGACTCAATCATAAAAGTCACGTCTTCAACAAAACCGCATGTTTTTCCACTTTTCCTTTGAATGAAGTTTGGTAATTCCTGTTTTGCTAGGAATTATCCATTGCCTCTACATTTTCATGTTGGTAAAATAAGTAGGTTGGGGAAGCATTTCTGAAATAAGTCTGACTGTACATAGTCACATTTAACAATACACATGCGATTTAAGTGTTCAGTCCCCACTTCTGAGAACCCGGCTAACGGAAATAAGAGCAACGCTCTATAAAAGTCCACAGATTCGGATGTTTATGATAGTGTCGTGCGTCATGAAGACAACTGAAAGCAGCCTTCATGCCCAGCAACCAAGCAATGGCCTGACATGTTTTAACTGTCGTCTAAAAGCATACATATATTGGGTACAGAGTTTCATCTGGAGATAAAGAATGATGTGGTTTGTACAACACTGTGAATGTACCTCAAGGTGCTGAATCGTACACTTGAAAACCACTAAGAAGGTCAATTTTATGTACATTTTACCACAAAAGCTTTGAAAATAAAAATGAAGCATAAAGGTGTTTTGTTTTGTTTTTTTAAGAATATTGTATTTATTTATTTTTTCAGAGGGAAGAGGGACAAAGAGACGGAGAGAAACATCCGTGTGTGGCTGCCTCTCGCGCGCCCCCTGCTGGGGACCTGGCCCACCACCCAGGCCTGTGCCCTGACTGGGAATCGAACCGGTGACCCTTTGGTTTGCAGGCTGGCGCTCAATCCCCTGAGCCACACCAGCCAGGGCTGATGTTATTTTTTTTTTTAATTATATTTTGTTCTAGGCCAGGTGAAATGGCTATAAACTCAAGATTTATAATCAGAGACTGTGGTGTGTGTTTTTGTGTGTGTGCTGTATCTATTTGTTCTGTATGAAACATATGTTCAGTAAACAGGCCTTAGTAGGGAAAAGATTTGTCTGAGAGCACCTGTTAAGTAGATGATACTCCTGCCTCATCTCAATGTACTGTAACAGGAAATACTCTGATTCTTCCATCGCACATGTTATATAAAACTCTAAGTAGGCTGGGTTGTGAATACACAGCAACTGCATAAATTCACACGTACGACTCTGTGGATTTATGTTAAAGTAATAGGACGTAATTAAAGAGCACCCTAAGGAGACACCTAACTAAAACTAAGTATATAAACTCGTTACATTATTTTCTTATGTTTTCAATACTCAGATCTCTTCACAGTCGAAAGCATGATTTTTTAAAAACTCAACATGGATGTAGCACATGAGACAAATGTAAAAAATGTTAAACTTTTTATAGAAGTGTGTTTCTTGATGGTCAATAAATCCTGTAGGGTTTTAAATGGATGAGTTAGAACGGGAGAGTTGAATAAATAAAGCACCTATACTACATCTCACCTCCAAAGTAAAAATAAAATATTTGTTGCTCTTTAAAACTAAAACGCAAAAATTTTGGTTAAATATGGAAGAATGCGTTATTTTGGCTTATTGACAATTTAGCACAAATTCCCTTCCAGTCGGGATGCACCTAGAATGCCAGTCATTCCTGAGGAATCCACGGTCCTTCCTCAGCTCTGCTCTAGCCAACTGTCTCTGGAATCTGGGTGGGGATTTTTAATGGATTTAATATGTTACACAGACTATAAAGGTACCTTAAATATATAATGAAAATGACAAGACAAATGTTGTACATCTGATTGTATTCCAGAGAATGCTCTCAATCTTAGGACTAAAATCATCATCTGCTTTCCTTTTTCTCACAAACTTCTGTTTAGCAGAGGGAATATTACTAAAATTAATGCCCTTCAAAGCAGATGTAATTTTCAGTTTTTGATGTAACAAACAGTTCACTATAGTTTTGAGCCTGCAAAGGCGGGTGAGTGTAGGCGGGAGGTCGTTTTGAAAATAATTACTTTTAACAACCCAATTCTATTTATAATCTCCGAGAAAATATGTACAAATGAATTAGCATATGAACAACATTCAGATGGTTATATAATGCAGAAAGCATTGATTTGATTTGGTACGAATACTGTGGGAATTATTCAGTTGGATTTCTGGGTTTTTTTAAATACAGCAGTTTCAATAAAGATTTTCAAATGAGAAAAATTAAAAAGTCAAAAGTTAATTAAATCAGAAAAGATGTTTCTAAAAATCAGGTTCAAAATACAACAAAGTAAGCAGATGTTCCGAAAATATTACGTGTATTTGCCTTTTTTGAAATATTTTCCATGTCCAAGCCAAGTAAGAACCCAATAGTCCTGATGTTCGTATTGCCTGGATTTTTTTTTTTTTTTTTTTTTTTTTTTTTTTGAGCAGAGAAGTTGAAGGGTCTGCAGGAGGAGCTGCGTGTTACAGACTTTGTGGTTTTCTCGCTACGGGGCAACATTAGTCTGCAAAAGAGTTCCTCACACGCTACAGAGATCTCCTTGGGAAACCTCTGCGTGGACTCCGCTGTCATAGCATTATTCCCTGGAATAATAACTAATAACTCAAGTTGAACTTAGTTAATTATGGAACGTGCCCATATCTTCATGTGTTTGCCTCATCTGTGACCATTAATTATATATTTTGCATTGATTCTGCAGCTTTTATGTCTTTAAGCAAGATTTTACTCTTTGTGATTACGGGGGTCGCACATCTGTAACGTTTTGAGGCACTAAGAGCCATTAGAAGCCATTTTAGGGCTTTCCAGTCATTCAAACGTTATAGCAGTGAAACGTCTGCCCACTACCTGGGGATAATGCTACCATTATGCCGGAGTTAAATGGAGTGAGGATGAAGGCCCTGTGCCTCATTCCACCCCATGACCACTTAGCAGAGGATGGAGAGGCGAGTCCAGCCGGCAAGCCTGCCTTTGCAACTAACATCCCATTTCCTAGGCAGAAATGATCAAGGGAATTAGTTTGTAAACATTATGGGTTGTTTTTTTTTCCCCACCTAAGTCGTCATCTCTTCAGATTTTAGGATGAGCAGCCTAAAGTGAATATTTTAAAATAATAAAAAGACTACAATTCCACAAAGTAGTAAATAAATCTAAAAAACATGTTAATTTCTCTTTCTGCCTCTTTTTCAAAACTGTTGGCAGAGAGAAGTGGGAAGTTACTTAGCAGGGTTCCGGGTTTTCTTGCGCCCCGCCCTACCACCGCCACAGGCTTTTCGTCCCTGGGTCGGTCTGTCCGGCCGCCTTCCACGTCCGTCTGTCCGCGCTGCGCCCGCCCGCCCGCCAGCCCGCCCGCCGCGCATCTGCCCTTCGCCGCTGACTCCGCCCCGCATCTGGCCGGAACCGCCTCGCGTCGGAGCCGACCCAGTGCGCTCCTGCCCGTCCGTCCCTCCGGACCTGCCGCGACTCTCGGGCTGCCGGATCAGCGTGCGTCACTCGGTCCGTACCCACTGGGCGTCTTGGGTATCTGGGCGGTCTCCGGGCCCCCGCGCGGGTGTCTGTGTGTCTGTGTTTCTGTCCGATCCGCCGTGTGCAGCCTGCCGGCCGGCCGGGCGCCCCGAGTGCCCAGGGTGCCCTTTGGCGGACGCCGAGTGCGCGCAGCGGCCTTGGCAAGCCGGGAGCCCGCTGGCCACCCGCCCGGCGGCCGGCGGAGGAATCCACGCTCGGCCCCTGCCCTTGTTGATGTAATTTCAGGCCAACAGGAGCTCGAGGCCTACATTCATGCAGAAAACGGGTCGCGAGGCCTCGATCTGCAGTGGTAGATGCGGGGAGTCTGCCAGCGGCTTGATGCTTTCTTACGATTTAACAGGAGAAGGGAAATTGCTTTCCTCCTGCTGGCTTTTCAAGCTGATTTGAGATCTGGGTGGCAATTGTGAGTTCCTTGCTGGGATGCCTTTTTGTCTGATGCATTTGTGCTGAGCCTGCTGACCAGGTGTTTCTGAACTTCATTTTCTCAGCCTCAACAGTGTCCCCGGGTCCTTTGCCTGGGCTTTTTCTGGGCGTGAACAGCTGCTGGGCCCATAGCTTAGGAAAAGCAGCCTTTTTTTTCCCCCTCTTCTTTTGCTTTTTTTTTTTTTTTTTTTTTTTTTTTTTTTTTTTAAATCTCTGAGCTCAGAGAGATGGGCAGCGGGGAGCCCAATCCTGCTGGCAAGAAAAAGAAATACCTCAAGGCCGCCTTGTACGTGGGTGACTTGGACCCAGATGTCACCGAGGACATGCTCTATAAAAAGTTCAGGCCCGCTGGCCCTCTGCGCTTCACCAGAATCTGCCGTGACCCCGAGACCCGCAGTCCCCTGGGCTACGGCTATGTCAACTTCCGCTTTCCTGCCGACGCCGAGTGGGCCCTGAACACCATGAATTTCGATCTGATCAACGGCAAACCATTCCGCCTCATGTGGTCACAGCCTGATGACCGCCTAAGGAAGTCTGGGGTTGGAAATATCTTCATCAAAAACCTGGACAAATCCATAGACAATCGGGCCCTTTTCTATTTGTTTTCTGCCTTCGGGAACATTCTCTCCTGCAAGGTTGTGTGCGACGACAACGGCTCGAAGGGCTACGCCTACGTGCACTTCGAGAGCCTGGCGGCCGCCAACAGAGCCATCTGGCACATGAACGGCGTGCGGCTCAACAACCGCCAGGTCTACGTGGGCCGCTTCAAATTTCCCGAGGAGCGCGCCGCCGAGGTGCGCACCAGGGACAGAGCGACCTTCACCAACGTCTTCGTGAAGAACTTCGGCGATGAAATGGACGACGAGAAACTGAAGGGCATTTTCAGCGAGTACGGGCCCACCGAGAGCGTCAAGGTCATCCGAGACGCCAGCGGCAAGTCCAAGGGCTTCGGCTTCGTGCGCTACGAGACGCACGAGGCGGCGCAGAAGGCGGTGCTGGACCTGCACGGCAAGGCCCTGGACGGCAAGGTCCTGTACGTCGGCCGGGCCCAGAAGAAGATCGAGCGGCTGGCCGAGCTCCGGCGGCGGTTCGAGCGGCTGCGCGTCAAGGAAAAGAGCCGCCCCCCCGGGGTGCCCGTCTATATCAAAAACCTGGATGAGACCATCGATGATGAGAAGCTGAAGGAGGAGTTCTCCGCCTTCGGATCCATTAGCCGCGCCAAAGTGATGGTGGAGGTCGGGCAAGGCAAAGGGTTCGGGGTCGTGTGCTTCTCCTCTTTTGAAGAAGCCACCAGAGCGGTGGACGAGATGAACGGGCGCGTGCTGGGCTCCAGGCCGCTGCACGTGACCTTGGGCCAGGCCAGGGGCAGGTGGTGAGACTGGGACGCCCAGCGCCCAGCGCTGCCTCCTTTGGGATGAGAGGTTATTTTCTGCCGATTTCACAGGGCTTTTTCCTTTTGAAGCGAACCCTTTCTTTTCGAAAACAGCGAAACTAGAAAACCGTGTTCACTGTAGGGAAGCACATACTTTCTAACTGTAAAACTGTCATTTTGTACTATTTTTTTGGATGTGCTAGCCTGAGGCATATGGAGAATAAAGTTCATTCCTCCGCTCGTTTGTTTTCCTAAATGAGTCAGGCTCAGGTAATTGACTGCATAGACTTCCTGGCCGATTTTCAATACTACGATTAAATTTAAGTTCTAGAACCATAGCCTCGACATGGTTCAGACTTCTGATTCGACCACACTGAAAACTCCTCACTGGCTTTCGCAGAAATCAGTATCCTGTATGCATAATTTCACTTTAAATTATTACTTAATAGGAATATTCCTTCAAAAACACGTGAGCTTCGTTTCTTCCCTTTATTTATTTAAATTATTTTCACTCTCAAATACAGACTTAGCAATGACTGTCCCGAATTGTCAGGAGTTTTCTTTGTGAACTTAATATCCGGTGACATAAGCTTCTCAGCACGTTAAGAAATTTGAACAGTTTCCGCGGTAATGATTTAAATTATGAGTTTCATCGTAAAAACCTTTCCTGAGAGATTTGATACTTGTCCACATTTTTAGGGGCATTCTTATAACTCACTTTTCTAAACTTTGTATGTATACTTGAAGAGCATCTATTAAACTTGTCATTTTCTGGTGTAAATTGTTCAGTGTATCCATGTGAAAATATTCACAGACGTTTCAAACCGAAGGAAAGGTCGAATCACATGCATTCATCGCTCGTATGAGAGCGATGAATCCACTATGCTTCTCTTTCTGTGTGGGTGCTTGGAAGTTGTTACAGGCCTTTCTTTTACTATCCATTTTGGAAGCAGAGAAATAAATACCTAATTTTTGTAATGTTTACAGAATTACTTAAAAAATTATGATTCACTCATCCTACAGATCCAAGCGTAAGAAAATGTTTTGTTTCTAGTCTCGGTTTTGATGTCTTTACATAACGATCTTTCAATCCAGACATAATTCAATATCAGTATATGATGTTAACACTTTTGTTACCAATTTGCCCACAAAATAATGACAGTAAGCTATTTCTATGTAATGATCTACAAATTACATCTATATTCATTATCAGATATTTTCAGATGGAAATCACTTTTTAAAATTTTAATCATAGTATCTGTTGATTGTAAAAAGTGTACACAATGCAAAAATTTATAGGGAAGACAGTAAAATTCCCGTAATTCAGAGATAACTGTTAATATTTTCTGTACGTACATATGCTTCCATGCCTTTTTTCCTATTTATGCAGACTGTTTTACAAACAAAAAGAAAACATACTACATGTACTGTGATACATTTTGTTACAGTTTTGAACATAACCATCCTTTCATGTCAATAAATATTGATCTGTATCATTTTAATGACTGCATAGTATTCCATGTGTGGATGTGTGCTATTATCTAAGTAGTCCATTATTGAATATTAATGTATACACTTTTCAGTGCATTCTACATTTGTAAACAATGCTGTGAAGAACATCCTCACTTCAAAATATTTTTTACTGATATGAGCTTGAAAAACTATCTGTGGCATGTAAAAAACTTAAATCTAGAAAAATAAAAATGCATATCATATTGATATATGTATCAAAATTTGGAAAACGAGCAAGATATAGTCTTCATTTAAACCGACCAAAGAAAAACTGAAATAATGAGAAACAATTTTTTGTAGTTTATGAGCCCACTTGCTCTATATCATTGTAATCATTAAAATACATGAAAATGATGCAACTCCAAATGAAATTTAAATAGCTACAGTGGTCATGACTTACCCTATGTACTCCATTGCTTTTGACCCACTACCAGTTTTTGTTTAAATGTATAGACCTGCAGTCTCACCATTACTCTGAAACCTTTACAAATGTTCTGATTCAATATAAATCACTTAACATTTCTAGAAAGTAAAAATGTTGAAGTTTAAACATTTAATACATTTTGGGAAATTAGATATTTAAATTATTACTGTTTTCAGAAAGTATCGAGAAAGGGAGTAATTTAAATACGCCCAAGGGCAGATAAAATATACAGTTGCATATGATAAATATACAGTTAAAATATACAGTTCAGTATACTGTATAAGCAGAGACACCTGGGAAGCTTTCAAACGTGCAGTTTTCATTACCTACATTTAATAGATTCCTAATAATTAAGGCTTCGGGGGAAAGCAAAACTGCTGAAAAGCTTAAATCAGTGACAAAGCAATAAAAAATAGGTGATTGTTCATTTCCTAGCACAAGATAATGGTGAAAATTAGTAAAACTATACTATCAATGACCGACCTAAGGATGGACTCTTCAGTACAAGTTGTTTTTGTTTGCTCTCTGTGTATCATCCCCCTGCTTTTGGGGGACTTTTCCAAACAACCACTTTTACAAATTTCAAATGTGCCCGGGGAGAAGGAAATTAAAAACACTGTTTTGTGATTGCAGGCCGTCATATTAAATGTCATTTTGAGGAAGCTTCTCTGTACGGGGTGTTTCATCGATACTGGTGACTTTGTGGATATGTTTACAGTTAAGAGGGAAAATAAATGTTACATGCATAGGTGATAGTTTTATCACAGTGGGAAAAAAGATTACTTATTTTTAAGGGATTATTTAGGAATGGAGCAAAGACCATCTCACCTATAAAGAAAAGGCCTTGTTTAAGGAAATAATGAGAAAGGTCTTCATAAGTGACTGAATATAGATGATACAAATATTCCCAGTTCTATGACAATACCCGGGATATAGTTAGCATTCCATGGTACTTGTTGAATTAATGACTGAGTAATCTATAGATCATATCCTTCCATTTGTTTGTTTCCCAATTCTCTTCACAGTATTTGATAAGAGAGATGAGCTCTTAAAGAACCAGCCATTTTTATGAAACCTCACTCTACGAAGAAATAATTGAGAAGTGGTTATATAGACTGTTGCTTGTCCCATAGTGTGACCGGTGACAGAGATTCATACTTACACTGTTAAAGTATCATCCATGTGTCCATGTTTCTCATGCTCTTTTTCCTTCGTTATTTTAAATGCCCGATTAATGGGCTTGTCTTAGACAAATCTTCTAATAATTGACATAAATTAAAGTCTATCTGTAGAATAACTTTTAAAAATAAATGAGTGAGAGGTTGCGCCAAGGCCGAGACCAGCCCACACAACTTCGATCCTACGTTGAACCAAATGATCACAGTAATCCCTGACAGACTTCCGCTGCGTGTGTGACAGGAACTCATTCCTACGTCCGTCAGAGTAAGAAAGTGAATGTCTCCCAATTGATGGCGGGGGATCAAGGTCATTAGCTCGAAATAATCTAGTTATCACTGGACATCTAACACAAAGCCCTTCCACCTAACTTCAACATAAAAATACTGAGGATTAATTCGTATGAAAGTTTAAAAAATAAACTCCAAGTACTTTAATTCTCTTTAAGTCAAAGTCAATTTCAAAGTTCTCCCATTTGGCACCAAAAAAAAAAAAAGTATCAGAGTTCTCATTAAATTTCTCAACAAAAGTTTGGAGCTTTGTAGTTTATTTAATTGTTTAAAAAAGTATTTCGTGCTTTAGAGAAACTGCAAGATGCATGTTTCATATGAGTCCATTTGTTTCTTTGTTTTAGAACCAATATTAAGAGAAACAAGCATCAGATGTTGGCTGTATATATATGTGTGTGTATATATATACATATATATGTTGGATATATATATATATATATATATATATATATATATATATATATATAAGCCTTCCATTATATAGACTAAATAACTTTACATCCCTTTGAGATTGAATTCCAACTTTTCAAAAGGGTAAATTGTATTTTTGACAAATCAAGGACTTTTTAAATCAACACTTGGGGACATTTAAAAAGCAATTTTAAGCGAATTTACACAGCATGGCAAATATAGAGAGAATATGCAAGTTTTCCTTCTTCGGGGATTCAGAAAGCCTGAAATATATACCTAATTGGTTTTCTCGCACAAAAATCTATTATATGTTAATGTCCTTAAATAAAGGAGCAAATACTCGATGCTTTTGTGATGAAAGACAAAATGACTCTGGTCAGGGAGGTAACAAAGGGAGTCGACTCCACGGGAAGACGGTCTCCGCGACACACGAAAGCATTTTGGAAAATAGCGCATTTGCAAATGAACTCAAGAATAATGCAAAGAACAGGCACAGAGAAATAAAGAGTAATTTCAATGTTAGAAATGTAAATTAATACTGTGAAGACAGTGCATTTCTGCCTTCTTCCATATCTCCTTGAAGGTGGGGCCTTCTGAATAGTTTTCATTCGCTTTGTACGATTATTCTTAAGTGATCCGATTACCACAGTAATACTAAACCTCAGCAACAGTGCGGTTGCAAGTGAACTTCTTAACTAATTATTGATGCTAATCTGCTCTTCTGTACTTCTTTTTTTAAAAGACTTTATTTATTTATTTTTAGAGAGAGGGGAAGGGAGGGAGAAAGGGAGGGAGAGGAACATCCCTGTGCGGCTGCCTGTCGCGCGCCCCCCGCTGGGGACCTGGCCCGCCACCCAGGCCTGCGCCCCAGCTGGGAACTTGCGGGAGGCCACCTAACCCACTGAACAATTTTAAGGATACGAAAGTGAATTGCCAAAATACTTTTTAAAGAGCTCTCAAAAGATAACCCTTGATCCTCACTCACACTAACGACTTTTATAGTTGTCTGTCGATATATTTCCCCCACAACCAATTTTGCTCATATGCCCTAGTTTTGATTTGTGTGATCTTGTTACGTAAAAATAAAAATTGTAACCATGGCATAATTTGTATAGAGGTTTCCCAGTTTCTAATCGCCTTTGCATTTTCGTTTGGTTAAGAGAAATATAGGAGTAAAATGTTCATCTAGGT